TTTTTTTTTTCAGCAAATGCTGGTCTGGTCTTTTTTGGATCTAGAAACTTTTTTTTTCCCTGTAACAATATGTGCAGCTGTGTTTTCATGCCACCATTTTCAGGAACATTTTGGGTACTTTGAGTATTTGAAATCCTTCTGGAAAAGGTTTTATTTTTTAATAATAATTGAAAAAAAAAACAACAACATTTGCCTCTTTTTAAACTGTGCTCTGTGTAAAACTGATCTTTATTTGATAACCTTCCAAAAATGTTCTTATATTTAAGCAATCAATAAAATTATAGGGTGCATAAATTACACTTTTTCTCAAATTATAAATAACTCCTCCCTCTTTTTTACATCAAGAAATAGACACATATACAGCATCTAACGTCTATAATTTAAAAACTACCTTCTTAACGTTTTTTATGCAACACTAAGTTATAATATTCATTTAATTTTAAGCATCCACGACCAGTAAAACACATACTCTTGATTACTGCTTGAAATAACACTTTCTTTCTGCAACATGTTGACCTTTTCATGGTGCACAACCATAAAACTCCATGTAACTCTCGATTGTTGCTTGAGGATTAGGTGCCTATATCGAGCATGGAATCTAATCTTTGAAGTCTTACAACTGAACTTATGTGGAACAATAAATGTCAAATAAACAGTCCGCAGTTTACGATAGAATACTGTAAGGAAGACAGTGAATGCTGCAGCATTCATGAAGATTATTTGGGATCCAATACAGATAGTATGGGCTATTTGGGAATAGTTTTTTTTTTTTTTTTGGTGATTTTTGACAGCTGCATTGTAAAAGCTTTAGTAGGGCTTGTGAAGCATTGACCTGATGCAGGAACAACAAAGACACATTTTACTATAAATAGAATGGAGGGTTTCAACAACAGACCTATGTGTATACACCTTTACATGTATGCATGTTTGTGAATTCAATAGCAATATGTTCCTCATGCTCTTATGTGGGTGTACTTGTGCATGCATGTCTTGCCTAAAGCCTTATTGTTCTTCTTTCCTTTAAAAATACCCCAGTATCAACTCCCACTTACCATGGTCAGCACTGACATCACCTTGGATCAGGTTGTCTTTGTTTTGTGTGCATTTCAACCTGAGCACTGGTTTATACCTTTGGGGTTTGTCATGGAAACATTTATGTCTATTCTATGTTTGCAATTTTCTTTTATGCATTATCTCTCTCTTTCTATAGGTCGTTTTCTGTTCCCATCGTTTGCAATTTTCCTTCTCTTTCCAAAGCCTCTTGGATGATTATTTTCAGAATCAGTAGTTGCCATGTGTATCTTTAACAAGGTCTGCAGTTGACAAGGCACAAAGCTCTATTCTGTTCAGCCAAACATCACCCATTCAATCATATCTTGTTACCACGACATGCTCCTTTCAAACCATCTTTTTTTTCTGTAAGATAAATGGTCACTCGAAGGGCATGAATCGTATCGAATTCAATCATAGAGCATGTCTTTTTTTTTTTTTCCAGCTTCCTATCACAATTTTTTATTCCATATCACTACACCATAAATTGTCAGAAAGTGACTTGTCCTGTTCTCCATATGGGTTTATACTGTAAAACTGATTTAACATAAGTATGAGACAGTATGGAATCTTAATAAATGTATAGGCATGTAAAGGTACAAAATGTTTTTGTTATTTGTTTTGTTGAGGCCAATGCTTCTCCAACTGCAAAATGATGAATCATTGAGGAATTTGAGAGATAATATAATGTGTGACAAGGGAAATGCAGTGCAAAACATTACTTTAATGGATACTTCAGAAAAAAATGCACTTAGGAAATTGCTGCTAATGAAAAAGATTGTGATCCTCAGTTTTCATTTAGGTTTTTTTTTTTTTTTTTTTTTTTTTAAAGCAATCAGCAAAATATCTTTACCAAACTGGAATTGGCTGGAGCTTCTTTTTCTTCGTCTAAATATATCACTGGTCCAGTGTACAGAAAGCAGCACAAACTGCAGCATGTTGAACAATAAATCAGCCCACAATACTCTGTGTAAACTGAATTATCTCATATCTCACATCACCAGCAAGGCAAGGCATACTAAAGCATCCATCAGCAGTCTAATATAAATGTTGAGGTGCGGTACATTGTTTATGGGTTGGCATTGCTCTGGAAGCAATACAAGCCGTTAAAGAAGCTTTTGGAAGTTTAAAATCTACATACAGCATTTTAAAACCTTAAAACAAGATAAAAAAGAACTACTTGTTAGGTTAAAAAAATGGCAAGAGTAAAGTATAACTTCTTTCAGTTTAATAATTTCATGGAATATGTAGAAAATGCCATAAAACCTTCCTTTTGAAACCATCCATCCATAGTTTTTACCCACTTCTTCCAATCCAGGTCGCAGGAATCACTGGTGCCAATTTCCAGCAATCACTGTGCAAGAGGTATGGACACCCTGGACATGTCACAACTGTGGGACACTGTGTCTGTCCTGCACACCTAATTTGTCTCCTCACCAGATGTTTCATATTTATGGTAATTCTCTTTAAATCCTCTTTAATGTTGGGTTCTCCTGTGTCTCAGTAGGAGAGCATTGAGCGTAAAGCATACACCGTCTCAATCGTTTCTAGTGTCGTCCTTGTCTCCAGTGTTATTTCTGTGATGTGTAAGTAGAGTTGCTGCCCCACCAACATCTTAGCTTTTTCCTTTTTTGTAAATAAATCATTTTAGTTGTATTGTCTGAGTTACATTTGAGTCCTGCTTGCACCTTGGGTTTCAAAAACAATTGATTGTGACAGCAAGTCCATCACAAGGACACATAGAGACAAACGAGACAAACAACCATTCACACTCTCACCTAGGGACAGAGTTACCAATCAGCCTAACATGCATGTTTTTGGTCTGTGGGAGGAAACTGAAGTACCTGGAGAAAACCCACGCATGCACAGAGAGAACATGCAGACT